ATGTTCATCAGAAGTGGGGAGGATGGGTAGGAACGTGTGAGGAGGTGAGTATCTATTGGAAATACATTTTCAGATTAGGAAAATGTTAACTTCCAAGATTAGAATCCTAAGTTTAATTAATGGAGAAGCAAATGCAAATGTTACCTAGATTAGATTCCTTCAGAAAGTGCTCAAAGGAAAACCCATGGAGAATAACACCTGATGGCAGAAGCTTCATAGGGGGCACACCCTTGGGAGACTGCATCTAGTATCAACCAGGGTATACTCTTTGCCCAGAATGTAAGGTAGGAGAAAAGGCATAAGTGTTGGAGGAAAAGACAGAAAGTGAACGTGACTGTCTAAGTACTTGTACAGAGGCAGTCAGCAGACCAATATATGTGTAATGTGGTTGGGGGGGGGGGGCATTGAATGTACCTTGTGTGCTCACCTCGACTCAACTGAACAGGTACTGGCTGCAAGAGGTTGGCACAAGAGATATGTGCCATGGTTTTGAGGGGTGTTCCACTACAATGACAGTTTAATCACTGCCCCATTTTTCACCGTATTGTGCTAAGTTCAACTGTTTGGGATTCTCCATGGTTCACCACCCCAGCAGCTAGGAACAGAGAAGAGACAAGGGTCTCCTATGCTTCATTTGAAGAAGGATGGGGGAGACCCAGAAAAGTGCCTAGATCACCAGTGAACCTCCATCCAGAAAAGGTCTTTTAATGGAGACAGTGCAGTGGGTGACTGCAAAACCCTACTTTCAAAAGCCAGCAAACATGAGCCAAAGAAGTGGGCAGAAAATGTCCCTAGTGCTGGCTTTTCCATGTTAGTTCATGGAATAGATATATTCTGGATGTATATACCACAACGGTATCTCAAGTGGTCTTGCAGAACACCTCACCTCAACAGTGGGCACTGGTAGAGACAGGGTGGATTATATGAATGCTTTCTATTATCCTGGCTTGATGTGGAGTTGGGGTAAATATACCCTGTGAGGCAACTCAAGCCAACTGATGGGATCCTAAGAAATTAAAAACGGTTCTGAAAAAGAAATTTTATTTATTCTTCTCAGAGATGGTGAAGTGACTGAAGAATGAAGACCAGTGGAAGCTGAAACCATCAAGAAACAAAATAGCCAGATATATAGATAAGGAGATACAAATATGTGGACAATCATCCACATGCCCACCTGGAGGATCTTGTCTTACGGCTGGTGAAGATTAGGTGCAAGAGAATGAGAAATATAACAACTTGAATGCAAAGAAATGTGACTTAGCCTCTGAGCATCCACATTCAAAGATGAACACACCAACCCAGAGGAGTCAACAGACCCAACCAATAAGGGTAGAAGGAGAAGGGTCACTGGCAGAAAAGGGGAACACTGATAGGGAAAAGTCTGTAATAAAGGATTCTGAACAGCCAAAACAGGACACAAGCTAATCTGGGTCCAAATGATCAAAGAGGTGAAAGACGGAAAGGAGATAGAAGAGAAAGTACTGTCACCTTTTAAAGCATCTGAAGTCTGAGGAAGGAAAGACTGTTACCTTTCAGAGCATCTGAAGTCTGAGGAAGAAAAGATCAGGCTAGGGAGAGGAGAATATGAGTGCAGTGGAAGAGGGTGCAAGAAGCATCCATAGCATAGACATCCAAAGGATCTTGACAAAGCTGCTCGACAACTAGTATAGGCAGCCAGGAGTAAAAGAGTGGCAAATAAACAAACGACAAAAACTCACCACTTTCATTGACAGACAAACACAGTGGAAGGGAGACAAGAAGAATGGCATACAATCAGAATGTCAGGCCCAACACGAAATGGATCAGGCAAATCCCACACATGAAGACATAGGGAACATATCCCTCGATGAAAAAGATATGTGTGACGATTATGCAAAATAAAGGGGATAATGGGGAGAGTAAGGGGAGGTCTGGATGCTAAACAAACCAAGGTTAAGCTGGCAAAAGAGGCACCAACAGTAGGACCCGACAAGTAGAGCTGGATGCAAAGGCAAGGACTTGAGAAAGGAGACAAGGAAGGAAATAGGCAAATAGAAAGAAGTGAGACCAAGCCTGGCTGAGACCATCAACAGCTAGAGCCAAAAGATGAGGAACAGGGATCCAGAGGATAGGAAGCCCAGAGTTCAGAAGTTTAACAAAGGCATCTATCTATGAATAATATGTCCAAGATCAAGGTATAATATGGACTGGCTGAAAGAGGTGGATTGCCACCAAGATATTAGGTCCTGGCATTATGACAAGCAACAAGACAAACCCAATGTGAATGGGCCCAGAAGAGTTTGTCCAACACCCAAAAACAGAGAGTCCTGGAATAGGTGCCTCTTGGACAGTTGGTTCAAAAAAGGACCATGGAATAGACTGAGTGGAACATGACAAAATGATTCCCCAGCAAGGACAGAAATGAGAACATGCCTGATGAACAGCAAAAAAGGTCAAGCACATTCATGTGTAACAATTGCTTGTCCTGCATCCAAATGCAAGAAGTCATGCCCTCACCCAGAGATGTACCTTAATCAGAGAAGTAATCATTGGTGAAGAGATAGATCCAGTTTGAGAGTTAAAAAGAGAATTACAGAATTAATATGGGCATGGTCCAGTCAAATTGACAATTCTTCAAGAATAATAATAATAATAATAATAATCACAAATGAAGACAATGGAACCCAAGAAAGAAACCCACAGATCTACAAGATTCACTGGAGGATGTGCATACATGTTAAAAACTTAAAGTACCCAAAAGCAAAAGAACCTCTAGTGCAAGAAGAGAATGAGAAGCACAAAACCTGGTGACCAAATATGCCACAGCTTGCAGGCAAAGAGAAGGGGGGCTGACCTTGGCTTAAACAAGAAATGAAGAAAATGCTCAGAAGTAAGAAATATTGAGTGGGCATTAGAAAGGACTTAGATATTATAATATGACAAACCCTCCTAACCAAGTAGCCTCCAGTAAAAGAAGGGAGGTGTGAGAATAGAATACCAACCAAGAATGGACCAACAGAAGCCAAATGTCCAGAGAAAGGAATGCCAGCACAGGGACATGAATATGGTGAGTGAAGGCCCTTATATTACAACAAAAACAAAAGGGGCTGATGCTATGTTGAAAGGAAGAGCAAGGGATGGGAAGACGTGGAATTGACGAACAGAACGTAGAAAACATATGGAGGAAGGGTCAAGAGTGATGCATAGGAAAGTGTCCAATACATCAAACATGGCCAACCTCAGACAGGATAAAAAAAGACCATAGATGATGTCAGAGGAAGGAGAAAAGGAAATGTGAAGAGAAGGGAGGAGAGAGACCAAGGTGGGGAAATGAAAAACAATTGTCAATAGGAAATAAGACCACAGGGTCATACATAACTGATAGTCACTGATAAGAAGAGAGATGAACTAAACTTCTGGTAGAGGGAGGATGAGAAAGGAAGGAAGGCCTGGAGCCTGGAATCGAGAGATTAGGGGTAGACTAGTGCAGATGAGGAACAGGAGTAAAAAGCAAGGTCAAGAAAGAAGAAAAACCTGGGAAGATAACGAGGGCTGAAGCTGTATAATGTCAGTCTAGGTCACCAGGGAGAAATGAACACCACTGAAGACATCCGGGCAAAGAAAGAGAGCCTGACAAATACCATATACACAAGGAAGAGGAAGGAGTAAGATAAAGAGGAATGTAATCTGACTCAATTAGTTCCAATACAAGGGGAACAAAGTAAGGAGGGATACAGTGAAAAGGGCTGAGCTGGCAAAAAGAAAGGAACAGACATCTAGAGAAAATCCACCTACAGCATGATTAAGTGCCTCAGACAAAAACATGAAAATGGGGGACAAGAGAGCAAAATAGAAGGCCAGCAGCCCAATCCCCAAGCTGGCCAAATAGATAAAGGATAAAGAAAGTTGAGAAAAGGAAAGAAAAATGAAAGTTTACAAGCCAGAACAAAAAGAGTCATGAACACAAAAGTGATGAGGCATTTGGTTGTGAGAAAGGAGCTATTAGAGAAAGGAAATAGTGCAAATCCAAATAACAAGCAAGGAGGAAAGAGAAGGTAAACCCTAAGAAGTGTGGATCATGGAGTAAAAAATAAGAAATAATAGAGAACACAGGCAAAAGATATGTAAAGGAACAAACCTGAGAATGAAATCCAGAAAGAACCTGAAAGGTTAAGGTAATTTCTTAAATGATAAGGTACTACCCAAAGTAAATCTTGTAAAATGTGTAGTTCAATAAATCATTCCAGACTGAGGAGAAAGAATTTTGGCCAACAGGACATGAGTAAGAAACCTAGTAAGCATGTGGTAATCCACAACATGTTGAGCAATGGTTGCAACATCCGTAACAGTTAACAAGCCTTCATAAGTCATAACTAAGCCCTGGGTATGAATAACATTACTCACACAAGACTAAGTATAAGTCACTGTCATTTGAGAAATCATAATCAAAATTAAAGCTTTGGAAACAAAAGCCAAAGAAAACAAAATTCAAAGTTTCATTAACAATGCAAATCTCTACAAATTGAACTCAGACAAGAAATTTAAACTTGTCTGTTCAATACAATGCCAAGGAAAAGAATGAGGTTATCATGAGTGCAAGTGCATAGGGGGGAGTTACCATGCATGGAGGTTGTGTCATCCTCCTATTGGTTAAGGGCTTTTGTTGCATACGGATAACAACATGCACCAGTGATGTTCACATTACATGAAGTGGGAGTTGCCTTACTGCTAGTGTCATGTAAATCTTCTAGGCAGACACTCTATGTGGAGGAGAGGTATTATCTCCGAACTTTAAATTTTACATAGTAAAACTTATTCTTACAAAATTCTTCTATTGCTTAACTATAAATAAAAATGTTCCCAATATGTTATATTAGTTTCAAATCTAAATAATCATTACTAATAATGTTTGAGTGCACTGAATAAAATAATACAACTGTCCACTTTTGAAAAATGATCATTTAAGCACTGAAAATGATTTTTTATAAAATTATGTTACATGTTAAATATCAACTCCATTTTTAGTGTACAAACTCAAGATGTACTTAAGTTATTCTTCAGATAGTTTAACCCTTCCTTTCTGTTTCATTATATCTTACCAGAATTTAGTTTCCACAAATATAAACACTTCTGTCATCACTCTTTAAAAAATAACTTACCTATAATATTCCATCACAAATAACTCACATTAAACTATAACTCAGAAATGACATATTAACTAATACCTTTTGGAACAAACACTCAAGTCCTTAATCAATAGTGCATCTATAATCACTCTGCATTATTAAATCTTCTAGTAAGATGACTAACCTATCTCATTTGGAAGAGCTTCTAACTTATTTTCTTCTAGATCGAGCAGCCGTAACTTCCGTAGGTTCCCCATCGTTACAGGAAGTCTCTTCAGGAGATTGTTACTGAGAATTAGAACTTCTAGTGACTGGAGGAACTGGATGTCATCAGGAATCTTGCTCAGCTGGTTAGTGCCCAGGTTTAGCTCCACCATGCAAGTCCACGTGCCAATGTCTAAAAAAGCACGTGAAAATTAAATTTTGCTGATTAAATAATAATCTATTTTGCTCTTGTAAGTATGCAAGTATGCTTATATAAAAAAAGAAAAATTACATTTCTAAAAAGTAATCAGTATAATAAGGCTAAAAAATGAACTAGTTTCACATACTTTGTTCCATACTGTATATCTATATCAGTGTAAACTACTTGTACCCGATGATAACAAAACCTTGTTGAAATGTTTTACATTTGCAGTTATGTTAAACTTATA